GTACTGAGATCTTTTGCTTCCCACATTGTGTTAATGAAGCATTTAAGCCACTTGGAATGTATAAGTAGTACTTGTACTGTACTCTCTAGAGTGAAGAAAAGACACCTGATAATATATACATTCATTAATGATACTTGAGGGCCTAGTTCCAAACCTACACACTACTATAATATACTGGAGTGATAGAGATATGAGGAAGAGTGAAATGTACCCATTGAACAGCAGGAGCACAATAAGGAAACACTTGTGTCAAGACCTGTGACCCAAGACTCTTTAACCTGCTTTCAACATGTCAGAAATATTCCCAGAACAGGTGAAATGCCTTAGATCAGCCAGACTGTGGTGGATATATGGGCCATCAGGGCACTAACAACCTTTTTGAAAATGCAATTAGTAGAAAAGCCTTGCCCAGATCAGGGTGCAAGAGTAGAAAATTTCTCAAAATTAAGCACAGATATTTATATAAAGGGAAAGGGGACAAAAGAGACTGTAAAAATTATAGAGGAATAAGTTTACTGAGTATACCAGGAAAAGTGTACAGTAGGGTTATAATTGAAAGAATTAGAGGTAAGACAGAATGTAGGATTGCAGATGAGCAAGGAGGTTTCAGAGTGGGTAGGGGATGTGTAGATCAAGTGTTTACATTGAAGCATATATGTGAACAGTATTTAGATAAAGGTAGGGAAGTTTTTATTGCATTTAAGGATTTAGAAAAGGCATATGATAGAGGAGCAATGTGGCAGATGTTGCAAGTATATGGAATAGGTGGTAAGTTATTAAATGCTGTAAAGAGTTTTTATGAGGATAGTGAGGCTCAGGTTAGGGTGTGTAGAAGAGAGGGAGACTACTTCCCTGTAAAAGTAGGTCTTAGACAGGGATGTGTAATGTCACCATGGTTGTTTAATATATTTATAGATGGGGTTGTAAAGGAAGTAAATGCTAGGGTGTTTGGGAGAGGGGTGGGATTAAATTTTGGGGAATCAAATTCAAAATGGGAATTGACACAATTACTTTTTGCTGATGATACTGTGCTTATGGGAGATTCTAAAGAAAAATTGCAAAGGTTAGTGGATGAGTTTGGGAATGTGTGTAAAGGTAGAAAGTTGAAAGTGAACATAGAAAAGAGTAAGGTGATGAGGGTATCAAATGATTTAGATAAAGAAAAATTGGATATCAAATTGGGGAGGAGGAGTATGGAAGAAGTGAATGTTTTCAGATACTTGGGAGTTGACGTGTCGGCGGATGGATTTATGAAGGATGAGGTTAATCATAGAATTGATGAGGGAAAAAAGGTGAGTGGTGCGTTGAGGTATATGTGGAGTCAAAAAACGTTACCTATGGAGGCAAAGAAGGGAATGTATGAAAGTATAGTAGTACCAACACTCTTATATAGGTGTGAAGCTTGGGTGGTAAATGCAGCAGCGAGGAGACGGTTGGAGGCAGTGGAGATGTCCTGTTTAAGGGCAATGTGTGGTGTAAATATTATGCAGAAAATTCGGAGTGTGGAAATTAGAAAAAGGTGTGGAGTTAATAAAAGTATTAGGCAGAGGGCAGAAGAGGGGTTGTTGAGGTGGTTTGGTCATTTAGAGAGAATGGATCGAAGTAGAATGACATGGAAAGCATATAAATCTATAGGGGAAGGAAGGCGGGGTAGGGGTCGTCCTCGAAAGGGTTGGAGAGAGGGGGTAAAGGAGGTTTTGTGGGCAAGGGGCTTGGACTTCCAGTAAGGGTGCATGAGCGTGTTAGATAGGAGTGAATGGAGACGAATGGTACTTGGGACCTGACGATCTGTTGGAGTGTGAGCAGGGTAATATTTAGTGAAGGGATTCAGGGAAACCGGTTATTTTCATATAGTCGGACTTGAGTCCTGGAAATGGGAAGTACAATGCCTGCACTTTAAAGGAGGGGTTTGGGATATTGGCAGTTTGGAGGGATTTGTTGTGTATCTTTATATGTGCATGCTTCTAAACTGTTGTATTCTGAGCACCTCTGCAAAAACAGTGATAATGTGTGACTGTGGTGAAAGTGTTGAATGATGATGAAAGTATTTTCGTTTTGGGGATTTTCTTTCTTTTTTGGGTCACCCTTCCTTGGTGGGAGACGGCCGACTTGTTGAAAAAAAAAAAAAATTAACAGATAAGCTGAGTTATATTTGTTTTATTTTGTTACTTTTTTACCATATGCTTAGACATTTTGTGTATATTCATGTTATTCATAAGTGTTGGGCTCACATTTGTTTGGTAAAGATTGGTCAAAAACTGCTGATATAAGAAAAAAAATAAGTTTGTCTTTTGGGCAGCAGGTGTTCATCAGGCGAGGTGAGGTAGCAACTTTGCTTACGCCACCATCTTTTCTCTCTCCCATTTCAGGCACAGAGAAACATTCACTTTTTTTTTTTTTTAACACAGGCTGTCTCCCACTGATGTAGGATGACATGAAAAAGAAACTTTCACCATCATTCAATCCATCGCTGTCTTGCCAGAAGCAAGCTAATATCACAGTTCAGATGCTCCCCCTATGCTGCAGATATCCCCACCTTCATCTTCAGAGTGCAGGCACTGTACTTCCCATCTCCAGGACTCTATTCCAGCTAGTTGGTTTTCTTGAATGTCTTCACAAAATGTTACCTTGCTCACACTCCAGCAGTTCATCAAGTTCCAAAAACCATTTGCCTCCACTCCTATCTAACATGCTCACACATGCCTGTTGGATGTCCAGGCTCTTTGCCCACAAAACCTCCTCTACCCTCTCTCTCCAACTTTTCCTAGGACAACCAGTACCTTCCTTCCACTACAGATTTATACACTCTCCAAGTCATCCTAATTTACTTTATCCTCTCTAAATGTCAAAATCTCCTCAACTCCTCATAAACCCTCTGGATAATACTTTTAGTAACTCTGCAAAATGCAGCTGTGATAACTCTCATTTTGTATCAGATTCTGCATATTTTAATCCCACACACCTCTCAACACCCTAGTATTCACTTTTACAGCCCCATATATTCCAGCACCTTATGCCCTTACCATAACAGTGTGTGGTATGTGAAGGGAAGTGGAATGCATAGCATGATTTATGAAGATGTGGAGTGCAGTGTGAATTTGATATGGTAGCAGCTGTTAGCGTGTAGTACATGGTCAGTGGGTGAGGTGAAGCAACAACTCTGTGTACACCATCGCATTTCCTTCCTCCCAACCTGGGCACACACGTTACTAAATGTCCAGGCATCTTATACCCTCCACTATAACAGTGAGTGGCTAGGGAAAGGGATGAAATGCATGACATTGGATGTGTTGTGGGATGTGCAGTACAGTGTGAGGGAGTGGGCAGTATAGCATAGTGTGGGGGTAATGGAGCAGTGTAGGGGTGAAGTACTGTATGTTTCAGGGGAGTACAGTAAGGTGGGTGGATGTGGTGGAGAGCTGGAATACAGTGGATGGATGGAGAGAAAATATACAGTAATGGCATCAGATATAATTGGGGAGAGAGGGGGAAGTTAGGGAATAGGAGAGAGGTAACACTGGTCAACAGTTTTTGAAACATTGTATGCTTCTTAAATGAGATTAATTAATTCTTATGTATTTTCATGTCCTGAATCCAAATATCACCTTATAAAATGCTTATTGGCTATAGATTTAAAGATATGAGACGTGTAATATTTGATTATTTTATTACAACATACAATGTGTGTCAGTATATTTTAAACTCTAATCTGTACCTACTCTCTGCCTTTTTGCTTGATGCTTGTAGTGGGCTGAAGAATCATCTTCAATGTCCTGCAATAGTCTGCAAGCATTCTTGTGCCCCATTTGCCCTGGTACCATTTTTCCATGGTTGAAATATCTTGGTGAAACCTTTCACCATGTTCGTCATTAACTGCCCCACAGTTCGCTGGAAAAAAGTCTAAATGTGAGTCGAAAAAGTGGATTTTAACTCATATATTACATCCTATGTTCTTGTAAGCCGTGATGAGGTTTTCCACAATTCTTCATAGTTGCCTTCCCTTCTGTTTCTGAGAAATCCTTTCGCCACTAACTTGAATGCTTCTCAAGCAGCTTTTCCCACCCCATGAAGGTCTGCTTCAAAGTCACCATCTTTAAGAAGCTCTCAAATCTGAGGACCATTGAAAACTCCCTCTTATCTTAGCGTTGCTCAGTGAGGGGAATTTTGATGTTAAATACTTGAATCCCTGACCGGATTTGTCCATAGCTTTTACAATGTTTTTCATGAGCCCCAGTTTTATGTGTAGCGGTGGTAGCAAAATTTTGTTTGGTTCAGTGAGAAGTGGATGTTGAACATTTTTCATCCCAGCCTCCAATGATTGACGAGGTGGCCAGTCTCTGTTGATGTAGTGGGAACCTCTTGCACGCAAGCCTGTTGGAACCTGTTGTGACACAAAGGTGTATATTATTGAAAAGTAGAGCTAACAAACAATTTTAACCATGATATTTGTTATCAGTGACCTAAAATTAGTTGGAAATTGCTACTCTGGTCTCGGAAGCATTTTGGTTGTTTACCAGTTTTATGGGAGGGAGGGAGGGGAAGGAAAGGAAAGGGAAGAGAAGAGGAGACTTATAAGTACTGTGCAATGTTTAAATTTATTGTTTAAAAATAAATAAAATGGTATAAGGATTATTATAGCATGGAATGCTTTTCTGAATATTACATAGCTGTGTGTGCGAAACAGGCTCTGAATTTCAAACAATGAACTTGCAAACAATTTTCAGGAATACATTGATATCATTAGTAGGGGATGTGCTGTACTCCTGAAGCATCTGCTTGCTCTTTAACATACTTATTTATTATGGAATTTTGAAGAAAATAAAATAAAGATAATACAAAGAAACAAGACTAAAATTCTTACTTTATTTCTCATGAGATATGCCAGGGTAAGGGGCTGGCAACCAAGAGTTAACATTTTTTAATTGTTCTTGGTATTGTAATGCCGTTGGTTTTACCTTCAGAATTTCTAATGGATAATTAACTGGTGTCAATAATTACAGGAAATGGCTAGTGCTGAAATGAAGGCTCTACGAGAGAAGTTTACAAAAGAAGCCATTGATGACCATCAGCTTGCAATGGCTCAGGGCACAAAAACAGATTTGCTCAAATGTGGCAAATGTGGACACCGAGAGTGCACATATAACCAGGTAGTTGTCAGTTTTACATATTTTCCTAAGTTGGGTATATTTAATGTAAGTGGTGTTTGTTTTTACATTTATAAACGGAATTTTTAAATACTACTTTCAAGCAAATTAATGTAATTTAATTGCATGTATTTTTTATGTAGAATGACTGCATAGACTTTTGCTTGCTAGATTTGAACATTTTAAAATGAACTGAATGTGACATTCAGATACACGACATTTTCTCAGTAAACTTTTAAGACACGCAGTAGATGTTCTGACTCTCATTCTGTTCTACCCTGCCTTGATTATGTCTTCCCATCTAGAAGCCACAGAATGCTGTTGTATAATGCATTCATCAAATTGAGATTTGTGGTGTGTTGAATTTCATTCAATATTCCAGCTAATTTTTTTCTATTATTTTGTACAGCACAGGAGTCACAAATTTTAATTCACTAATAAGAACTTGTATTTCTGAACAGATGCAGACCAGAAGTTCTGATGAACCTATGACCACATTTGTGTTGTGCAATCATTGCGGTAATCGCTGGAAGTTCTGCTGAACAAGTCTGCTGGAACCAAATATGCCCCAAAGGATTTCTTTTGTTTTTGTAGAGAACTTGTTAATCATTGGTTGTTCCCAAAACTAAATACAGTATATGATTTGTGATGACCAACTTCAGCCTTAGGATAGTTCTGTTGCACATAGTCTTGTACTTGTTTGTGTAACTGAACTGAGCTGCTTTAAAAGTGGTCCATTAAGGCTCATTCCTCATGCTCTTGACTTAAAATTATTTTTCAAAGTTCATGTCAATTATTCCAAGGTTGAAATAACTGAATTGTTTGAAAATAGACTGTACAAATATGTGAAGAAATTTTTCTAGTTTTTAACAACTGCCATATAACTGTAGACATCATTATATTTTGAATTACTTCATGTCAAATAGTTATAATTTGTAGTAATAAATCGTGTGAATCACTTCTATGTATTCCATCTTAAGTAATTTAACACTGAAACGTATATACCATGGTGTTTAGCGATGCATTAGGTAAGACTTAGAATTGGAAGATTCTGCATTGTGCAGTGATAACCCTCTTAGCATAGGAGGGCATATGTTGTATAAATATGGTGAGCAGGTGTATTGACATTTCATGAGGTTAAAAAAAGTTTACATTTGTATAGTTATGTGCTGTTGATAGAGCATAAATTTAATATTAGTTTTATATATGGCTATGTGAGCATATTAGGTGCAGATCTGGTTGCTCACTATTCTTGAGCTTTTACTATATGTTATAAGTTTTTCAGGCCCCAGTAGTATCCATCCCATTGATTGAAGTTCTATTAGGAAATAATAGAGAATTATTCTTAGTTTAAGTGTTTTATAAAAGTTTTATTTTTCATTTTGTCCTGAAAGGTATGTGTAACAATTTCCTTAAGTAAGGTTTACCTTCCTTCATTCTCATATTTGTGCTATCACCCTGATGTTTTAGTTACTCTAGTATTTGCTTGATGGTGGGCCCATATGGTCCTTTCTATTTATTCTGGGTTGGAAGTTAATATTTGAATGAGAATACAACTGATACTTGACTTAGATTTTCAGATTTATTAATCTGATGTCATTGTGATGCAGCTGGTCAGAATTTAATTTTTTATTAATAAAAACTACTTGTATATGGATTACTTTAAAACTGGTATTGTACATTATTATTCCAGAATAAACTGAGAAAAAACTTGTATGAAATTTACCATCAAGAAGCTGCATATATTTATCAAAACATATCCCTATGCTATACAGATGATAAAATAATTTTTTGAATGTTAGACATGCTTTTCATGTTAATAATACTTTTCATTTCAGAATGTAGCATATTTATGCCTGTTGTCCTATATACATATACTTTTGGAAGTTAGAATCTTTTTTTTTTCTTCATTGTCATTACAATAAAGTCATATTCTTGAAATTTGTACTTAAAACATTTTATGGATATGTAGGACCAAATTTTTTTACTTTTAACATTGAAATATTTCCAGTCTTAATGCTTGAATTACTAGAAGTAGTACAGTTTTCATATCTTGAGTACTGTGTTCTTACCAATACAATTGTACCTGTAGATATTTGTTTTATTTTTCTCTCCAAAAAATCTATAATTTCTAAATTAAATAGTAGATACTACATGTAGCCAGTTAAGGGTGGATAGTTCCCAGAGATAGAAAGAATTAAGGAAAATAAATAGTAAATGGCTATAGTGTCTATGAATCTAAATCTCCAAATCTCTCTAATTATTACTAAAATTGGTTTCTTAGTAAAGAATCTTTTGCTCCTTGCTCTTGTCAGCCTGTTTTCCTTGCTTTTCACATATGCTCATCCTTGGCCCT